TGAGAACTTCCCTGAGCACTTCCCAACAATGTCAAAAGGAGCTCAGGGCCTGAAGCAGGACACCCAGAACACGTTCTTACCCCCAGCCCCACAAACTCTTGTTCTGGGACTTGTCCAGCTGATTACAAAGCCCTAAATATGCAAGACCCATGTCGGTTGTATTTTGCTTGGCAGTGTTTAACAGCCCTGCCAGTCTCTGAGAGAGGCACAGGAATGAGGAACAGCAGAAGGCAGAGGATTGCCCTGTCCATTTGTGCCTCAGTTGAAGCCTCAGAGTTCACCATTCAAAGGTGCTCTCAAATTAAAGGTGAAATAAAAGATTATTTTTAAGTAATTAAGCCCCTCTTTTCTGACTTGCTATGAAATTTGTGGGACACTAACATAGCAGAAATTTTGAGGGAAAATGTCTTATGTACAAGTCCAGAAGCAGAAAACTACGGAATTTGTAAATAATGGCAGTATTTGCTTCCTTGATCCCACTGAAATTAATGGGCTGTGGTTTAGGTATGTGTCAGTGCCATAAAGTAGGATATTCCTGGGAACTGGGTGCTCCATATGTCAGTGATGGAGCTGTGGAGTGGCAGTGGCCATTGCATGGTCAAAGTTACAGAAGGGTTTTTCTTCACGTTCAACTCCCCTGTTTATACTCCAAAAAAAAGCTGAAGAAATTCCTAAGTCAGACCTGGTGCCATGGTTGAAATTTTTCTATAAAATTGGAAAGGGATTCAGCCAGAGACTTTCAAATGATGGCACCCCTGAAAAATCACAGCTCACAAGCACTGAGCCCTCTCTGGTTTTCTCACACAGGGTTGAATCTGGGTATGAGCAAAACTGACACAATTATTGCCCCTCCCCAGCCCCTTCTCCACTAAAGTCCAGCTCTCCTTCTCCAACCCCACAATTCCCACAGAGATGCTGGAACAACGCAGGAAAAAAGCATCTTACTCATGTGCTATATTTTAATGTTTATGGTATGGCTTTTTGTATAATAGGAATAATCGCTATTGCTTTGTAGTACACTTACAACAAATAGCTTCTGAGATTGCTCAAACACTTTAGCTCCACTTCAGCTCTTAATCAAACTCAGCAGCTGTTTATTGCAATTACACCATAAAGCAACAGACATTATCCCTTAACTAACTGTCTTATTAATATAGGTAGTTACACAGCTACTTCATAGTTAGTCTTAAATAACTGCTTTTAATTATTTTATTAACATAAATAACCATCTCAATAAATTTAAATTAAATGCATATGTGAGAAAACGCAATTTAAAGCATTGCACAGAATTGCATCTGTTTACTAATGTTTAAATTGATGTCATTGTGTAATTCAATTAAAGTGGAACTTTAATTTATTTCAATTTCTGATGGCCATCAAACACCTAAGACACCAGAACTTTCTAACATTGAAATGGGCACTCTCTCCTCTTCTTGTGCTGCTGTATTTTATTGGCAATATTAGTTTGCCGCCAGGCAAATGAGATTTCTCTTTAACCACAAAACTTACAATTTAATATCCCCATTTAATTTTGTTTTCTTCCCATTCCCAAAGCAACAGATGACTGGACTGCATTTTGCCTTTTGGTTCAGTTGTGCAACTCTGCTTTCAGCGGAGAACAGGATTTCACTTTCCTGCGCAATGCTGGATCCTCCATGTCTTATGCCATTTGTTCTGCTGGGATCAAGCTCTTTGCCTTCAGCTAAAGGGAAGGCAGACATTGCCTGACCTGGCCTGAAATCCCCTTTTTCTTCCTCAGGGGGGCTGGTTTATTGTTCAGGGGGCTCATCCTACCCCAAAATCCCGCCCTGCAGAGGAGGCAGCACTTGCACAGCAGCTTTCATCCCCCAGTGCCACCATGGAATGTGTCTCTGGAAAGGGACCCCAGCCCAGATGGGTGCATTCCTTCCCTCATTCCCAGAAGGCTCTGCCCAGCACACTGGCCTATTCAAATTCTCTTTGGGGGATGACACAAAAATCTCCTCTCCTCACTCTGGTTTAGATGCCTCCTCTGAAGGATAAAGAGGAAAACGCTTGCTGGGGAGCAAGGAGAAAAGGAAAGGGACTCCCTCCACCCCTCAGAGAGAACAGATGATGTTAGGGAGCACTGGGAGAAACTAAAAGTGGAAAGCGTAAGGCAAGAACGGGGTGAAAATGAGGCTGGAAAACATAAAGATGCAAAAGGAGGGGAGGAGGTCTCACATGCTTTCCTGCCAGCTCAAAATTTTTAATTCTGTAACTGGTGTAGGGACCTGCCAATGTGAACTGCTACCTCTCAAATCACAGCAAAACCTCAAAAGTAACTAGGATGTATTGAGAAAAAGTGTTGAAGTCAGGAAAATGTAAAGCAAAATCTCTCAGAGGGTCTTGATTGGGATCTCAGCAGCTTTATAACCTTCTAAACTGTGGAAATCAAGGCATATTTGGCCCTTGGATGTCAGTCAATGCCAAAGATTTTACAGGAGAGCAATGAAAGGAAGAATTTGGTGCAATAATGGTGACTATTGCTAAGTAGCAAAGTCATGCCCTGCTCATCAGAGGACACAATCTCCCTTCAGGGAATCATTAAAGAATTTCAAATCAGGTTTCAATGCATTTCCATGCAGGTACACTCTTTGTCAGGAGGAAGGTGCCTCAGTGACACCCAGTCTATGGAAAAGGGGAATGTGGCTGGGACAGCAAAGCTGAAAACAGTAATTTATTGATTGTAATACTTCTATCCAAATGCACCAGGTAACATGAAGGAATAATTACAGGCTCCATCAGAGACGGGTTGTGATCTGGCAGACACACCAAGCTCCCCAGGAGACGAGCTCTTAAAACTTTACAGACTCCACTGGGCAAAGACAGGTGACTCAGTACAAAGGGTTTTTACAGAAAAATGTAGAAACTAGAGTGAAAGCAGACATGTTTAAACTTCAGGTAACTGAGAGTGATCAGGGGTTGGATAATTGAAGTTCCAATGTATATTTGCCTACATTGTCGCTCACCTTTGAGCCCTACCTAGGCATCTTGACATTTATGTAGTCTGAAATCCTGAAAGCTCTGAGTTTAGACAACTAAATTGTTGCTTGTCAATTTAGCCTTGACTGAAAGACAGGTGTTTTGTTTCAGAGTAACACTCCTTTCAGACTCCTCTATTCCCAAGCTCACATTACTGAGCTAAGGAACTATCAAAAATGAAATAACTTACAAGCAGGCAGAGACATTTACATACCTTGAACAAAGGAATTCTTTGGGCAAAATAGGGATTTTTAATTATTGCTTGTTTTTTGTCATGTGGGATTCTCATCTCTGGCTCTCTGGTGGGAGCTGGAGGAGCTTGGAGACTTTGAAGGTTCCTACATTTTTGGTACCGCTATGCAGTTTTACAAGCCGAATGCAAAATGCTGTCTGAACATAAATCCAGCTGAGAATCTGAACCAGAATTCTCCAAAAATGCAATTCTGGAAGCAGGCAGAATTCTATACAGCACACACAGCAGTCCAATGGCAACAGGGTGAGCAAGGGGTACTTCTTAGGCTCATCCTAACTTTAACTCAAAGTGGGTCATTATAGCCAGGCCTTCATTGTCATCTCTAATACTTCAGGCTTCTTGGCATGGTGGCAGGGCTTGGACTTCAATCCCTTTATTTATGCCATTAAGTGTGCTGAAGGCAACAGAAGACAGGCTTAATCACAGTGACCTGCCAGTAACCTCAGCTGAGACCTGGAGGGATCCCCAGTTCTGGCATAGGTTAAGGGTCTCATCTCATTTAGAACTTAAGCTGGATTTGAACTGTAGCCCCAGAAGTAAAAAAGCCAGCATTTTATCTGGGAAGCCACATGGCTCTGGCTTGGGACTTGTGACATCCCAGTATTGGCAAACCAGAGACATATTAACTGTGCGCTCTGTTTTCTGCCCTTAATTATGGCCAGCCAGTCTGAGTTTTCTTTCCTTTCCTTTTTTTTTTTTTAGAGGATTTGAGTGACAAAGTGACTATGCATATCATTCCACATTTGAACTGTAAGACTTCAGTATTTCTACCTCTAGTGTGTAATTGGATCAGCTGCCAGTTACAGAAAGGAGCTGGGTGAGTATTAAGTGTGTGGAAAATGAAGAAGAGTCCAAGTGTGAAGGGGAGGAATAATTTGACAAAGCCTGCAGTGAGCTGTACGTGGTTTTCCCGTTCCAAAATGGAGTAGGTTTTGAAGCGCATGAGGAAAAACTGGCTTTGATTTATTAGCTCTGGTTCACAGAATGCCAGCCACAATCTTGGAGCAACTCAAGACATATGGAAAACCACAGTCCCTGCCCCAAGGAACACACAACACCCACATTATCATACTGAGGATGGAGCAGTGCCAGCCTGAAAAACACTCTGCTTTTTTCTGGGTCCTGAACAACCTTGTCAGGCAGGGCACAAAGCTGCTGCTGCCAGGGCTGGGCTTGGTGTGCCCATGGTGTGGTGGCCCTCAAACCATCACACCCAGTGCTCTTTTGTAGGTCCCCACTGTAACCCTGCCTCACTTGAATCTGCAGTCTCTTAAAGGAATTAGGATGATGTAAATATGAGACAGGCTAGAACCAACCACAGAAATCCATGGTAAATCTCAGCCCTTTCAAAAGGTGATAAATAGGTGAAGACTGTGCAGTCAGAAAGTGACAGTTTTCCTGTCAGGACAAGAAAGTTGAGTTCCAACATCAAGCACAGGTAGAGGCAGGATCACATAGACAGAAACAGTTCTTTATCCAGCAAATGTTCAATCATTTATATCTCTAGGAATTGCAAGCAAAATCCCCTCAGGTAAGAATTGGGAGTCTGTAGGTTCCTGGTCAAACTCTCCTGGCTGGACCAGAACATCCTTCACTTTGCATTCAAAGATGCAACTCAGGACAACAATCTAATCATGAGGTTGCCAGTTGGGAGGATTAGGAGAGAGACCTGTGGCCTGACATCAAGGAGAAGGTCACAACATCCAGAGCAGCTCATGAGAAAAGCAGAAGAAATGGCAATTACCTGGAAATTCCCAGACAGTTGTCCCTCAGCTCCAGAAATGCTCCATAAAATCCAGCATGCTGATCTGTAAGGAATAAAGAAGAACAATTTATTAGTGATGGAAACAAGAATTACAGACATGCCAGGTGACTGCCCAGTGCTGCCCAGAAGGTGGAGAGACCAAGAACCAATTGGGATTTGCTACTTCCCAACTCTAGGGGGCTGCACCTGGTGGTTTGCTGCCCATAGGGCCAAATTGATATCCTGGGATTTGGAAATTCCTTTGCTCTGTCTTCAGCAGCAGCCTCTAATTGAGAGGAGCAGTGTCCTAAAGGGCCCCAGGGTTACGGCCATAGAGTCCTGTCCTTTCTGGTATAAAAGCCCTGCAGACAACTCGATCAGGCAAAAGCACAACAAAAAACCATCTCAAAATCATTTCTCTCTGACTCTCCAAGGGGGTTAGGGCATTAAGACACAATGCCCTACCTCAAAGGAAGTCAAGATTGGATCAGAACATCTCAGAGAGATAGAGAAGGAGAGATGGCAAGAGGCAGCAGTGTAAAGGTTTAATCAGCATGAGTTGGGGATGACCACATTACTCATAGGTCACTGTGCTTTCCAGCTGACTAGCAACAGATGAAATAAGGAAAACAACGGCCTCAGGATCTCCAGGTAGCAGCTGCAGCCAAGGCTGCCTTTTCAGCTGCCCTTTTAGCATGGAATATGCAGGCACTGCTCAGAAACTGCCTGCCTTCCCATGCAAAAGGGAACCTGAGGGCCCACTGTCAAGGAGAACACCAAGGTAACGTTTGTGGTATTAGAGGGAGGAAGCCTTCAGATGCAAGGCACCTGGTTTTCCCTACAGCTTGCATACTTCCAGGATTTCCTAAGACTGAACTAGAAGTACATCAGAGATCCTTGTGGATCTCCAGCAGGAGGGCACCAGGGAAGGGTGCATTTATTATCCTGATGTCAATTCACAACTGCTAGACCAGAAAACAGGTGCAGTTCTTCATGTCCCACAGCAGCATCCACAACACAGACTTTGCTACCTAACAAAGATGTTAGGTATCAAATAAATCAAATAAAGATCGTTTCTTTCTAGCAAAGTGATGCCATTCTGCCAGGCTCTGCACAGAGACTTTGTCACAGACCGCTCGCGTTCCTGGAAGGTGCCATCAAATCAGACACACACCCGAGATCCCGACAGCTGAGGGGAAAATCCCACTGCCATTCCTGACACTTCTCAAATTAGCAGGAGCTTATAACCACAAGGATCTGTGGGATCCCTCTCCTGCCAGGGCTGCATGCACAGGGGTAAGGTAAAGCCCTCCTGCTCTCTGCTGAATTCTCTCACCCTGCACTGCATTGTTTTTTCCTGTGCTCAGAGATCTCCTGCTTGTGTTTGAACTCTCTGAATACTCTCTTCAGCTCCACACAAGGAGCCAGAGGCCTTGGTAACCTTCTACCCCAGCAGTTCTTTTACTGCAGTCAGGAAATTAGCTCTCTTTTTTTTTTTGTTTGCCTTTTTTTTCTTTTAATTGCCAAGAACTAGGGGAGTTCCCCCTTCCTGTGCCTGGTTTCATGCAGGGCTCAGATGGCAGTGGTTGGTGACAGCAGCAGAAAAACCCAAGCCACACCACTCACAAATAACAGTGCCACACTTTGGGTTTTATGTCAATATTTTGATAATTTCAGCTATTTCACATTATCACTGGTATTGAGATATCTAGAAAACAATGTGTGCTTCAAGTAATTCAGAAAGCATCACGATAGGCCTGTGTGAACACTTCTTCTCATAAAAACTCAAATCAGGTTAAATTCTGAGACTTGATTTTCAGCTGATATAAACCCTTGAAGACAATGTAATTACTGGTATGACAGTTTTCACTCTGAAATGTCCTGGCCCCTCTGTTTCCTCCATGTGAGCAGAGGGAACAGGTACCAGCAGGGAAGGTTTCACGTCTCTGCCTCCCTGGTGTTCGCACCAGGAACTGATTTTACCCCAGCAGGATTTCTTTTTCCTTCATTCAAGAAATTGTCTTTTTTTAAAAAAAATGTAATCAACAAGAGAACTTCCCTTTCTGTTGTCCAGCTTTGGAAAAGGAGCCTGATTTATATTTTCAGTTAAAAATCCTCCCAAAGTCATAAGAGGATGTGGTGGGAAAGGGATTAGAGAGAAAAGTAAGTGGCACCTCTAATATGTTTTACCAGGATATAGGAAGAAGATAAATATGAGACAGAAAAACAAGAAAATTTAGGAAAGAAGGGGGAAAACACATGAAAGGTGTAGTAATAAAGGAATCCCATCAGTAGCAACAACTTGAGGCAAAAAGAGGCCTGATGGATAGCTGGACTAGCATGAGTGAGGAAGGGTAAAACAAAGCTTTCCAAAGCATGGAAAAAGAAAACCAAATTGTATTTATAAAAAACTAGTGAGAGAGAAAAAAAAAAAAAAGTCAGAAGACAAATAAAACAGACAGGGAGGATCTCCAAGAGCACAAAAGCAGAGGTCAGTGCCCCATGGTCATTTCCTAAGAAAGGAGGAAGCAGAAGTGAAGCAAAATACCTAAATATAAGAGACTCCCTATAAACAAAGGGTACACTGATTGCTAGCCCATGATTTTTTTGAAGGTTTGCTATCAGCATATCTCCAATGATAAATGCCTTCACATGATGCCAGCTCTCTGCAGGCACAACTGCAGCAAATCAGTTCTGCCAGGCCACACATGAAGTGACAAGGAATCACTTCCCCCATTCCACGTGGCACAGCCTTGGTCCATGCACAGGCTGAGGATAAATCCTCAGGAAAGGAGCACAGGGCAGCAGTGTCCAGCAGCACAGAGGAGGAGAACACAAATGGAGAACTAAACTGGCAGCCTGGAGCTTCATTCAATGACTACACAGGTTCATCTCTGACCAAGGCTCCTCATTCCATGTCCTGCTCCAATTGCTCCATTTTGTGCCTTGGGCACTGGTTTGTCTAGGCAGAAAAAATACTTCTAGATTGTTCTTGCCACACCCACCAAAACTGAAAATTGCCACCATCATCCTCTGAATGGCAACGGCATCCACAAAAATACTGGAATGACACAAACATGTTCAGGAGCTGTTTGGTGACTGCTGAGCCCAGGCTGGTGCTCTGTCACAACAGTAACTTTGTGTCATTCATTAAACCCCCTAAGCTCAAGCTAGTGTCCCAAACTGCCTTCTGAGTGCCCTGGAGCACAGCTCCAAGCTCAGTTTTCCATGGAGAGAGGAGCACCTGGTAGGAATATGCAGGCCCAGTGATGGGCAGGAATGGGGCTCCATGGAAGAATGGTGGATGGAAAGGCTCCATTTTAGAAGTAAAGATGTATGGGTGACCCTCAGAATTTGTGCAGAAGCTTGATGGGGTTAAAAGCTGCGCCCACTGACGTGTTTCCAAGCAGCCCCCAGGCATTATCCTGCACGTGGGCAAATGCTGTTCTCCCTCCCATCCCATCCGTGGGGTTCTGTGATTAACACCGATAATTTCAAAGGCAATATTCTGCCTATTGATCAGAGCCCCATTCTGGGAGGGAGAGATTCAGACTGACACTGAAAGCTGAATCTGCAATGTGTATGTGCACATTGACTTGCAACAAAAAAACCTCAGATAGCCCTCTGTTTATCACCAAAGTCCAGTTAGATCCTGTGGTATCACCAAAAGATAACAGTCTGGCCCCAAAGCCCCCATCCCACAAACTCCCACTTTGTGCTGCCACAAAGAGGAGGATAAGCAGATCTTGTCCAGATCCTGCAGCCTTTACTCAGATCTCAACTGCCATGGAAGCATTGCCTTAACTCACCACAGCATCTTCACTATGAGCGCTTCTGCCCATACCACCTTTGCCAAAATAAAAACTGCTTTGGCTGGGGGGGGTTTGGCTTGTTTGTTTTGTGGCTGGGCTGGGGAAAAAAATGCAGGTTAATTTTTCTAATAATTTTCTAAATTTTCAAAAATGTGTCTAGAAATACACTTTTTTTTTTTTTTCTGGAACAGACAGCTGAGAAACACAGAACAGCCTTTTCCTGTCCCCCCACACCCTTGCTCTGTACACCACCCCTGCTTTAAGATTAACTGTCAGTCTGTGCTACCCTTGAGGCCAGACATTCTTTGAATTTGGTTATTATATCAAGGTGCATTTGTGCTTCTAAATGGGCAGCTGTACTGTAAATGGAGCACAAAAGAGCAAAATTCAGCCTGCTGCAGCGTGAGTCCAAAGCCCAGCGTGTCTGCGATGCTGTAGCCTTTTGTTTCAAATGCAGATAGATAAACTACAGCCTTTTTTCCATGACGGTTATAATGCAGAATATGAAAAACTCTTGGGATGGTTTAAGCTGCAGGGTATTCTCCCAGAGTTCTGTCCAAAAATAATCTAGTAAAAATGTGGACAGAGAACCATCGACCTCTGCTTTCCCCCGAACATATGCAGCTCTGATCAGTCTGGTATTTCAAGAAAAACAAGGTCCTGAACCCTAATCCTCAGACACATAACAAAGCGCACTTCACAGCTGTGATGCACAGCTACTATCAGCTCCGAGGCCTGAGTGGGTCCCAAGACAATGCCTCCTTTATCACCCAGAGGACAAATATCTAGACAGCAATATTTTCTGCTTGAATGCTTCAAGCATCTCTCGCAACTCCTGACTGAAAGAGAAAACTGAGCTGAGAGTGTTTGCTGAGTGATTATTTTAATTTACTACTTGATGTAAATCTAAATGAACTGACATCCAGCTTGAGATGGACAGAAAACAATCATTGTGAAAAAAGAAAGAAGGCTAATATTACAATATCATTTGAGTAGCACAGGTTTAGGCAACTTTAGCAGTGGCAATGTAATAGATAGCGAGGCACGGTTTGCATTTCCTTTTCTTCACTCAATTACCATAATAAGTTCTGTAATTTTAGGGCTGTTTATTTATCAGGCGATGATAACAAAGACGCTCAGAACACGGTGTCTGAATGCAATAGTACAAAGCAGCCCAGTGATGGCCCCTGCATGCAGAGGGATTGCTGATTCCCACACACCTGATTTTCCCTGTGTACCTGTGCTCAGAACC